AGGAGGAAGCAGTGGATACAGGAGGAAGTGTTCATTTGTCCTGCAAAGAAGGCTGTATTAACACTACAGATGCCATTGGGTGAGAAATCATACAGCAAAGATCAAAGAAGGAAGTGGCCAGTGGTATCCTGCCAAAGGAACCTGAGAAGAGTGGCTGAAGATGACAAAGTCTTGGGCAAGAAACTGAAGACTTGAGGAGCACAACTTGAGAATTGGGCTTCTGGCTTCCAGACCACAACTCAAAATTTCAGGATGACAGGCTCCTGACCAGAGAGGGAGTCCACCTAACAAAGACCGGCAAGAATAGATGTGCTGCATGGTGCACAAATCTATTCACCTCTCCCTCCCCTAGTCTAATCCTCCATTAGAATGTAAGGGTGGGGATTATTTTTTACTTCCTTTGTAATCCCAGCATGTAGCACATTGCCTGGCACATAATAAACACTTAAAAATGGATTATTTTTGTTGTAAAAGACTTTCAACTAAAAAAGAAAGGGATGGAAAAAGACTTTCTAGGTCAATCCACCAAGGTAGATACCATACAAAGTAGCTATAATGAAGGAAACAGAATAGCAAAGTGAGATACAGCAAAAGCCAAAACCCAAAAAAGAAGTCACTAGTAAACCTCTGACCTCAAATAAATTCCCACAATTTAGAAAACAAACAAGGGAAAAGAGAAGTTTTAATTCAAGGAAGCAAATTAAACTCATGGGTATCACTGATCTGGGACAAAACTCAAGATTGGGGTATGGGTCTAGATGCCTCTGTCTTATTCAGAAGAAAGAGAGTGCGTAAAATGTGGGGAGTGAGAGGATGGAAGAACTGTATATTCCTTAATAGAGAAAATCCAGGAAGCAGAGAAAGGTAAGCATAAAGAATTTAGGAGTATACTGCAGACCACTTGGTCAGAAAGAAGAAATCCATGATTTTAGGAAACAGATTACAAGAGTGGAACACTGGCATGATATACTAGTAAGGCGGGATTATCCAGACATCTGCTAAAGTGTTCTCTCTCTCTCTCCCTCTTTCCCTCTCTCTCTCTCCCTCTCTCTGTCTCTTCTTCTTTCTCTCCTCCCTCTCCTTCTCTCTCTCTCTCTCTCTCTCTCTCTCTCTCTCTGTCTCTCTGTCTCTCTCCCTCTGTCTGTCTCTCTCTCTCCCTCTCTCTCTCTCTCTTTCCCTCTCTCTCTCCCTCTCTCTGTCTCTTCTTCTTTCTCTCTTCACTCTCCTTCTTTCTCTCTGTCTCTATCTATCTATCTCCCTTTCTCACTCTCTCTCTGACAAAATCAGAGCACAAATAATGCCTTTATTCAATTCAGTGATAACTTCATCATTCAAAAGGTGAAGGAAGAAAACAGAGTCGGCAAACAGTAGGCTGGTGAACTTGACTTTGATTCTTGGGGTAGCATTTTCCAGGGATGGCAGGCAACACCTTTGCAGGTTCCCATAGGTAAGAGATTGTGCTGGTCTCAGGGGTTCCTCATCCTCAGGGTTTTCTTTTTCTTTCAGCAGATTTTAGGGGTGTGTACCCCACATGGAACAAACCACTCCTTCAGGGGGTCTGGTGCTGCCCAAGCATAACTCCAGTTTGCCTCAAGAAGCTCAGTTGATATCTCAGGAGACAGACAGACAGATAGACAGACAGATAGACAGACAGACAGACAGACAGACAGACAGACAGACAGACAGATAGATAGATAGATAGATACATAGATAGATACATAGATAGATACATAGATAGATAGATAGACATGAATTCCTTAGTGATTACTCTTTGAGTCTGGTCAACAAATAAGTTCTGAATCTCTATCTGTATCTGTCTATCTCTCTATCCATTTCTCTCCTCTTTGGGGTTTTCCCGTCTATGTAAACTTTTCGTTGCCAAGGGGTACAGCGGCCTTGCTCTGGGGGTTTCCATATGAGAATAGAGCCTGCTTTTCTTTCCTCCTTATGCCCTGACTACATGGAAGTGGGGATGTGGCTTTCACCTCTCTAGGGAGATCACAACCTCTTCCTGAGTCTCTGCCCAATGTCAGCATTAATCACATCAATACAAATTAGCAGCCATCCAAGTCTCATTTGATCCAGAAAGATGAAGCAGCCATGGAAGCGCTGTGAGCAATAGGGAGGACAGTCTGGATGCCAAGAAGCTGGGGGCTGGTGCTGCCAGTTACAAAGGCAGAGTCAGCTTCCTCTTACTGGAAGGAGGAGACTCAGACCTTGGATGAGTTGTGCAGCTGATGGGGGGCTGGAGTAGAGATGGATGAGGGTGTTGGATTTTGTCAAAAGCTTTTTCTGCATTGCAGTCTATCCAATTGTGTTATCATCTAGTCCATGCCAGGGCAGCAAGGTGACACAGTGGATAGAGCTCATGGCCTGGAGTCAGGAAGACTTATCTTCCTGAGTTCAAATCTGGCCTCAGACACTCACCAGCTGTGTGACCTTGGGCAAGTCACTTAACCTTGGTTGCCTCACTTTCCTCATCCATAAAATAAGCTGGAGAAGTCAATGGCAAGCCACTCCAGTATCTCTGCCAAGAAAACTCCCAGTGGGGTCAGGAAGAGTCAGACACGACTGAAATGACTGAACAACAACTAGTCCATATCTCCTGGTCCCTCCACAGGCCCACGTGTTCCATCTTACCACACCAGCTCACAGGAGTCCCAACATTCAGGGTGCTACAGGGTGGAAAGGAAAAGTACACCATGCCCATCTAACATCCTAACCCAGCCCTGTACTTTTGCGCAGTGCAAACAACACAGTCTAATTCTCCTAGTTTCCCTCTGTCAGAAGTGTCCAAGAACAAGCCCAGAAAGTCGACTTCAAAGAAGGCACCAAACGGGCGAGTTCTGGAATAGCCTCTGCTTCAACCTTCCATCTCCCTAACATCCCCTGGGATGCAGGCGCTGCACTGGGAAATATAGAAGGCACTATTAAGGAGATGGTTGGCAAATGTTTATGGCAAAGAATAGGAAAACGAAGGGAGACGCCTCAATCTTTGTTGTCCAGTCATGTCCAACTCTCCATGTCCCCATCTGGGCTTTTCTTGGCAAAGATACTGCAGTGGTTGGGCAGATTTCAACTCAGGAAGACGTCTTCCTGACTCCAGGCCCATTGCTCTATGGTCTATGGCGCCACCTCGTGGTCCAAATTGAGATTCCCCAATCCCGCGATTGGGGAATCACTAAACAAGTTATGGTCTATGAAGGTGATGGATGCCATTGTGCCGTGAGAAAGGAAGATGGGGATGGTTTCAGAATAACCTGGGAAGACTTGTGTGAGTTGATGCAAAATGAAGTGAGTAGAATCAGAAAAATCCTCATAATGACAGCAATACTATAAAGAAAATCACCTGGGAAAGACTTAGCTGCTCGGATCAATGCAGTGATCTGCCACAATTAGAAGGGAGTCATGATGAAACATACTCTCCACTTCCAGAAACAGAACTGATATGGAATAGAACTGAACAGAATAGAGCTTGCTACATAATTTTTCTTTCTTTTTCTTGTTTTCCCCCTTTTTTGGAACATGGCTAATGCAGAAATATATCATGCATGCCTATACATATGCGTGTGTATATCTAACGTACGTGTGTATATATTGTATGTACATATATGATGGGTGTTGTATTTCTTGACGTCCTAACAGGTGGGAGAAGGGGTAGAGGGAAAGAAGGAATTTGGAACTAAAAATGAAATAAAATGGAATTTTAAAAAATTCATAAAAATGTCAAAGTCTTCAAGGGAACGGCTGTCATAAGGAAGAAGGATTGGTCTTCAGGAGTAATGGGGGAAAGTTAGAAAGAGGCAAATGTAGGTTTTACATCAGGCAAAACTTGCTAATGTGGAGAGCTATCCCCAAATGGGATGGGCCACCCAGAGAGGGGCAGGTGCCTCTCCTTGGGAAGACCCAGGCAGAGGATCCATGACCAGTTGTCAGGTACATTAGAGTATGGATTCCTTTCTTTATATGGGTTGGACTAAAGCCTCCCCACACACTTCATCCTTTTGAACTCAAAAAATTCTGTGACTTTGGTGAAACTGGTGAAAGAGGGGGTATGGTGGTTAAAATGTATTGTAGTGTCTTTTACTGACTCTTAGGCATATGAGGGACCTTTGCAGTTATGAAGTCTAATCCCTGCCAGAAGCATGAATATGTCCTAAAACAGAGGTGTCAAAGACGTGGCCCACAAGCCCCATTCCTGAGTACCCCCAACCAGATTAAAATGTAATTGAGAAATATTTAACAGAATAAATAAAAATGCAATGGAACACAGTTAACGTTACTATGCAGTTTTCTGAGTTAATATGCAACATCAGGGATCCTTATGCCAGGTTAGTGAATCCCTGTTTCTTTCAGAGTTTGACACCACTGCTCCAAAAGACCCCTGAGAAGAGATCTCCCAGTCTCCCAGCCACAGAAGATTCCTCACCTCCATCACTGAAGAGTTTTCTCTACTAGCACTGTGCCTTCTTGTCACTTCCACCCTTCAGCCTTAGTTTGGGCCTCTGGGGCCAAGCAGAGCATGTCTATCCTCTTCCTTTACGGGAGTACCCTTCAAATATTTGAAGACAACCATGATTTGTCCCCAACCCCCTAAGTCTCATGTTCTTCTAGGTTAAAGGTCCCAGTTCTCTTAGCCAATCTGCTGAGGGTTTAGGACTCTCACCATCCTCAGTCACCTTCCTCGGGACCACAAGCCAGCTCATCAGGAGCCCTCCTAAAACCAACATCATTCCCAACCAGACAGGACACTCCAGTCCTTCTGTGACCAGGGTTAAGGGATTCCAACAGTGTGTCTCCTCTCCACACAGCCTGGCATGGTGGCCTTGTTGCATCACTGAGCTCACTGCCCACCCCCATCCCCACCTTCCCCTCCCCATTCTCTTAAGATCTCACATTGTCCAAATGGCTCCTAAGCCCCTATTATGGATCAAGCAGAGTCCTACCCCCCCCCCCATCCTGTGACTGATGAAGGTCAATCCTGAGCCATGCATTCCAACCCGAAGGCAGCTTCAGCTCCCCATCTGCAGGAGGCCTCTCCTGGTCCCCTGAGCTGCTAGATCCGCCCTTCATCCCTCTCTGTGGATCTCCTACATGTCTACGGTCAGCGTCTCTTGTCTCCCCTCCTGCCCCATAAGAGCAGAGGCTCCTTGAGGGCAGAGGTTGTGTCTTTTGGTCTCCCTGGACTTCTGTATCCCCAGCCCTCAGCACAGTGAGTGCCTGGCACGTAGGGTTTGTTGTTGAGTCGTTTGTGACCCCATTGGGGTTTTCTCGGTAGAGACCCTGGAGTGGCTGGCATTTCCTTCTCCAAAGGAAGGCAGAGCAGGAGCATTTGAGAAACGCCTGCTGACTGGTTGATGGATCAATTTCAGTGTCTGAAAGGTCCCTTCTTCCCAGTCTCCTGCCTTGACCCAAACCTCAGACGCTATGAGAGCGCAATCCAGCTCGTCCCTTCCCCAGGCAAAGACTGGGACTCTTCCCTAAAACTCCACGTCCCTGGCCGTCACTCCATCAAGCTTCTTCACAACCCCATACTTCCTTCCTCTTTCCCCAGTGGTAAATTCCTTCTTTCCATTCTAAACGATTAAAATCCTCCCTTTATTCAGTTGCTTCTTTGCAGTCTTTCATATCAACCTGCAGTTATCATCTGCTTCATTCTCTGTTCTCTCTCTACCTACCTATTCCTATGTCCCACATAGGAGACTAAAATTCTACTCAACATCATTAACTTTTTTTGCAATTTCAGTTTATCAAGATCTATTCTTCTGACATTATCTTAATTTCCAAATATGTCCTCTCCTTCTCCACCCAGAAAGGCATATGTAGGAACAACAGAAAGAAGGAAGGAAGGAAGGAAGGAAGGAAGGAAGGAAGGAAGGAAGGAA